AAGGTGATGAGAGGTGATGAGAGGTGATGAGAGGTGATGAGAGGGGATGAGAGGTGATGAGAGGTGATGAGAGGTGATGAGGTATCGAATAAGCGTCCTCCCCCCCCCCCCAACTTTCCGCTCCAAATACCATAACCCCAGTTTATTATTTTCCAGCTTGCCGCGACCGACGATCAGATGAAACATTGTATCTAGAATGTAGATATCTGAACCAGACAAAGTAATCAGCTGTCAGCGCGTCTGCGCAAACGTTGGGACGCATGACGCGTATCTCAGAACACAAAACAGATTTCTTCATTGCCTTTTGTTGAAGACTGCATTCAGCACTTCGCATTCTGCACTTATTTCGCTTCCTGTGATCGGCAGCCAGGGATCTTGTGCGAGGCTCTCGACAGGAAAGTTTTACGAGAGTCTTTTAATTCTCCTTTTTTTGCGTTTCTTTGTTGTGATAAGCACTTCGAGAGGCATATATGAATAACCCACTGTCTGCCGCACATTTCTGGAGAGTGCCGCTGACCTGTTTGGTTTGTTTCCGTTCTCTCCTCTCCTCCCCTCCGTCCACCTCGGTTTTTCAAATTGTGTTGTTTTTTTGTCCCTCCGCTAATACTCTGAGTGCATCGCATGGAAAGAATTATGTGTTTGAGTTTTAGTACAGGTTTTACGGCGCTCGCAACTGCATAAGGTCATATGGGCGCCAGAAGATTAGAGGTGTTACAAGAGAGTAACAAACATAAAACGATGAAGGGGAGATAAGGACGATAGATGTTAGATAGGAAAGAAGGAGCAAACCACACCAGAGCACCCGCCAACCACCCTCGAATTATGTGTCTGCCTGAAAGGAGCACAACATATTGAAAAGGTCACATAACAACATTTATTTTGAAAGACTAAAACAACATAGTTGATGACTCGACTAGCGAGCAGGATATGGCGGAGACACTTATTTGGGAGACGCACATGATATGTGAGGCAGCGTGGTGGAATCAGGCTCTCGTCAAAATAATGAAATCGAAGAAAACAGCAGTTTTTCTCCCTGCTTAGCAATTTTTATCAAATTTTTGTTTTTTGGCTCAACACCTTTTATGTCCATTTACAAACACATTCCTTTGAGGATTTCACCGAAAACGTTGATTAAAGGCACAAAAATATAAATTTACAGTTTCCATGGCCAGACTCTCTAGCTTTGGAATTTGTCAAGCTTTGGCGGCCATTTTCTCGTTAATTTTACCTCTTAAACCAGGTGACCCCCACTTCCTTCTATCCAAAATATCTCCACTTCTATTGAAGATGAATGGGTAAATTTTTTTCATTGAAAACAAGACAAATGAACAAGCTTTAAGATGATGCCAATGACTCCACATACCCAAAAATTGACGAGAGCCTGATTCCACCACGATGCCTCACAAATCAGCCGCTCGAGTCTGCGCGAGTCAGACGAGTGAACCCCGCACACAGAGGTCTATTATACAGGAACTACTCGCTTCTTTCTCAGCTGAACCAAACAACGAAAGCCACCCCTATACCTTCACACTTCACAGCTAGATTACCTCCGATTAGACACATCTAGTAAAACAAAACAAAAAACAAACAAACCAACAAACAAAAAGTAACAACAAACCAACAAACAAACAAAAGTAACAACAAACAAAAACAAACAAAAAGTAACAACAAACAAAAGTAACAACAAACAAAAGTAACAACAAACAACCACGATG